AGACAGGGTGCCCATCCTCTCAGGGGTGTCTTGTGGATGTCACCTAAGCACCATGGGACACCAGCGGGCCAAGCCTGTCTCTGTACCCAGACGGCCAGGCGGGTATGGAGGCCCAGAGAAGGGAGAAGTCCTACTGGGTCACTCTCCTCAGTGTCTTCATTTCCCTCTGAAGTCCACAGTAGGGACGGGCCGGGCAGCAACAGCAGGGTCAAGGCTGGGAGTCGCAGCCAGTGGCCAACGCCACCCCTTCCTCCCCTGGGGTCCCCGTGGGACTTTCACCAGGGCACCGGTCACCCGCTGCTGTGGTCCTTTGTGCTGCCATTTCTGGACCCTGGCACCCTGCGAGGCCGTGAGAGAGCACAGGGCTGACCAGGGGGAGATGCTCGCTGTGGCGGCTGAGGGCGGCGGGGAGGGGGCCTGAGGCGGGAGGCCCAGGGCCCAGTGCCAGGCTGACTGGGTGCTCTGTTCCTGTCCCACCCAGAGCCCCAGGCAGTGCTGGGGTGGCTGACTGAGGAGGTGGGGGCCCTGATGCCCAACACATTTGGACTCTGATTTCACAGCAGGACCTTGGGAGACAGTTGATCTTATTGTCCCCAAGTCACAGGGAACCGAGGCGCAGAGAGGCACAGCCACTTGCCCCCGGTCACATCACCACCCCAGGAGGCAGAGGTGGACCCTGAGAGCTGGGCAGTCGGGGTCCAGAGACTGGGCGCTGCGGGGTGACGCTGTGCCCCCGGCTCTGGAGTCCTGGAGTCAGGGGCACCGGAGGAGACAGGGCGCCTGGCCCTCCCAAACAGTGGGCCATCCTGGTCTCTGCCACCTGTGAACGTGGCACCTAAGGTGGACAAGGGACCTGGCAGACAGGATCAAGCTATGGATCTTGAGACGGGGCGGTCCCTCCTTGGTGAGGCTTTGGCTTTTCATTCCTGGCAAACCAGTGGCTAGCAAAGCCCTCTCCTGAGCCCGGGCCCCGGACCACGTCCATCACCGCTCCTTGGGTCCTCACGCTGGATCCCTGGGGGACCTTCACGGGGTCACCCACAGAGGTGGAGGGTCCTCATTCAAGATCTTCTGTTGGATCCCCGCTTTCAGACATTTGTGGGGCCCGTCTCTGTTCCTCTCGTGTTCTCTTCTTCCTGTCAGAAAACCTGGGAGTGTTCAGCCCTAGTTGCTAGGATGCTGGAGATCCACAGGGCACTTGGGGCCCTGGTGTGATTTATTTATTTCCTGGGGTACTGGGGACTGAGTCCAGGGGTGCTTTACTACTGAGCTCTATCCCCAGCCCGAGCCCTTTCTATTTGGAGACAGGGTCTTGCTAAGTTGCCGTGGCTGGACTTGACCTTGCCACTCTCCTGCTCAGCCTCTGGAGTACCTGGGACCACAGATGTGCCCCTGTGCCAGCTTGGGGCCTCAATATCATGGCCTGGATGTGAAATGACTGCCAGAGCCTCATGTGTGGGAGTGTAGCAGTGTGCAGAGGTGGGTGTTTTGGGGACTGGTTGGGTCATGAGGGCTTGATGGCATAGCCCACCAAAGCTCGTAGCTGGATGCCACAATTGGAGGTTTAGGGGCCTGGGTTTTGCGGGTGCCCTTGAAGACTATGTTCTGTCCCTGGTTCCTTCCTTTCTCTCTCTCTCTCTCTCTTTCTCTCTCTCTCTCTGCTTCCTAGCTGGCATTCCTGAGTGGCTTTGCTCTGCCAGGTCCTTTTGCCATGACATTCTGCCTCACTTCAGGCCCAAAGCAATGGAGCCATCCAAGCCGTGACTGAAACCTCTGAAAGTATGAGTCAAAACAAACTTCCCGCTTCCAAGTTGTTTTCCTCGAGTATTCTGTCATAGCAACAGAAAGCTGATGAACACACTTCATTCGTGAGTCCTGAGAGATGGTGTCAATAGACAGTGACCGAATCATTTAAAAAAAAAAAAATGAAGCTCTTGGGCTGGGGCTGGGGCTCAGCGGTAGAGCACTCGCCTAGCACGTGCGAGGCCCTGGGTTCCATCCTCAGCGCCACATAAAAGTAAATAAATAAAATAAAGGTATTGTGTCCAAGTACAACTTAAAAAAAAAAAAGGCGGCTCTGATATGGGGCATGGCGGTCTCGGCCCATGTTCCATGTGGGCAGTGCCGGCGCACAGATGGGCAAGCTATGAAGAAAAGACGCTTTCTGGGGTCATGGCTCCGTCCAAGAATAGGGCCTGTATGTGGTGCTGGCCTTTCTGCTGGCCCAGTCCACAGAGGGTGCAGGGCACCCCTCGGTGAGAGAGGGACGCTGCAGCCACTGATCCCTGAGTGGGTCCACCTACTTATGACGGCGAGTCTCCTCGCCCTCTTCAAGGTCCCCCTGGCGCCCCACCTCTTAATGGTTCCTGCTGGAGATGGAATCTGGACTCGGAGGGTAAGTCCCCTTCCAGCCACAGCAACGTGAGGAGCCTCAGAAGCACAGCACCAAGCACGCCGCAGACACAGACTAGGCGCCGGCCACAGGAGGCCACCCACAGGCAAGCTCCAGGACAGGCCACTCAGCCACGAGGGGCCTCCCGACGGAGGATGGGGCTGGGCAGTGGGCAAGGACGGCGCAGTGAGCGTTGGGTCTGCTTCTGGGTGATCAGAGAGTCCTGGGCTGCCCATGGTGGCGCATGCCAGCAATCCCAACTTAGGAGGGAGGGTCACAGATTTGAGGCCAGCCTGGGCAACAGGATGAGGCCACACATCAAAATTGGGGGTAAAAAAGCAGCGTGGATGTAGCTTGGTGGTGGAGCCCTCTTGGGTTCATCCCCAGCACGTGCGTGCACACGCGCGCGCATGCACACGCAAACACACACACACACACAACTGGACCAGACAGAGGTGGTGGTGACGCTTTACCAGTGTACCAAATGCCACTGAATCATGAACTTTAAAATTCTATGCTATGGTAACTCCACCTGAATTAACAGAATTAAAATTGAGATGCTGAGGGAGGGAGGGAGGAGGAAGTGTGTTCTCCGGGTCTGAGGGAGGAGTGGGGTCAGGACTCCTGGATCCGAGGGGGAGGGCTGAGGTCTGGTTCCTGGGATCTGTGGGGGTGGGGCTGGTGTCTAGATTCCTGGGTCCTTGGAGTAAGGGGCAGGAAACCCGACTCAAGCCTGGGTACTGTAGGAGAGGAGGCCAGAGGTGAGGACTGCCGTGGGAAAGACAAGAGGAACATGTCGGAGGAGGAAGTCCTGCTGTCTGGGGAGGATTTCAGGGGCGGATTCCACCAGTCCGGGCGCTCTCCCACCCACACTCTGCCTGCCTGGGGAACTCCAGCCTGGCAGAAGAGAGAGGGAGACGGGAAGACAACTGGAGGGGTCGAGGCGGTCACCAGGGCTCCACACCCAGCAGCCCAAGCACAGAAAGTGTAGAGAGGGAGGAATCCTCAAGGGAGGCCCGATCCTCAGTCCCTCAGTGGGTCAGGCTGGACCCCAGGGCTAAAACCCAGGCAGGTATTCCAGAAGGAACCGTGGCCCCAGATGGACCTCTGGGTCTCAGAGGGGAGAGGACTGGGGGCCCAGACTCTGGGGTCCCCGAGGGAAGAGGAGGGAGAGCTCTGGAGGCTGAGATTTCTGGGTCTAGGGCAGGACAAATGCTGCCGTTGGGAAGTTGAACCCACAAACTGGAGGAAGGAGGTTGGGGGCTCCCTGAAGCGGAGGTGCTGCCTGCTGAGTTCTCAGGAGACAGGAAGTGGTGGTTTGGGGGTGAGGGCCACAGAAAGTGGCCAGTCGGATCCAAGGTCGGACAGGTGCTGGGGCCTGGACTTTGCCTCTATAGGACGTGGACGACCTGCCTGCCCCTGCCCCACCCAGAATCCCTTCCCTGAAGGCTCACCAGCCCCAAGCTACAGAGGGAGTTCCAGAAGGAGAGGGACAGGGTAAGGCCAGGGCCCTGGCCTGGAGGTGGGGGAAGGGGAAGACCC